TGGTATTGGACATATGGGCTAATATCAGACTTATGGACTTGATCTGGACTGGGCTGGGATGTTTTCTTAATATACAATTACTCTTTGAGATAAAGCTCTTTCTTATATACATACGAGTGTCTCTGGATTTGTTTCTCTAGTCAACCCAGGCCAACACAGTACACATGCCCAGGAACATCTTAAAAGTTGATGACACATTAAAAAGCCAAGAAATTCCCCAAAGTATAAAACACAAATGCCAAATTTCCTGCCTATGCCTCAGTAAAGCACAAAGATAGTCAAATGACGCTGTTTCACTTAGATTGGCATCAGATGGTCAAATGTCTAAACAACTAGATGAGAGTTTAGGGAAATGGGCATTTATAGAAACCTCAAGTAGAAGTATAAATTTGCAAAGACTTTTTTTAAAAAACTGATTTTTTAGAGGAGCTAATATCAAAGGGATCAAGAAGATAATGTTTAGAAACAGTTGATGCTAATAATTGTACATGTCCACTTGAGACTACGGATGTTTGTTATAATGTAAGAGTTCCCAATAAAATGATTTCTTTAATTAAAAAAAACTCCTAGAGACTCCATAGGACAGATGAGAACTTCTTAAGGTTTCCAAGGCTGTAAATCTTTATGAAAGTAGACTGCCTCATCTTTCTCCCATGAAGCAGATCAGTTTAAACCACCTAACTTTCAATTCATTAGCGCAGAGTTTAAGCCATTGTGCTACCAAAGCTCATTAAACATGTTGCTTTTGAGGGGTGATTGACTTAGTTCCTACTCAGAGTGACCCGATGTACAAAAGAACTAAACACTACCCAACTGTACACCATCCTCACAATTGTTCTTGCTTACGCCTATTGTTATAGCCACTGTGACAATCCATCTCTTGGAAGGCCTTCCGATTTTTCATTGCTCCTCCATTTTACCAAGCATAATGTCCTTTTCCAGGGACTGGTCTCTCCTGACAACATGTCCAAAGTATGTGAGGCAAAGTCTTGCTACCTATGCCTCTAAGGACCATTCTGACTGTACTTCTTCCAAGACAGATCTGTTTGTTTTTGGCAGAACGTGGTACTTTCACTGTTCTTCTCAAACACATAGGTTCCGAAACATCCAAACTCACTGCTATTGAGTCTCTTCTGACTCATCGTGTCCCTTTTGAAAAGAGTCGAGCTGCCCCTGTTGGTTCTGAGACTATAACTTGTGGGAAGCGGAAGACCCAGAAGATGTATGTGGTCTACTCCCAAGGACTCGTGACTACAGGGCTTTGGCATGCCATCCCTAGCTTAGGGACACAATCCGAGACCTGGGGGAGCACCCCAAGCACGAAATTCCAGGAAGGCTGTTTCTCCACAGCACATCTGCTCCCCATCTGTGCTTAGAGGCTGTTCCCTACAGATGCTTGCTTGAGTCCTTACATGCCTCACGTTGGCAGATAATCTCAAAGAACATGTGCTCCTCTTGTAGATTTCTGCTCCTTTGAATGCTTGGAATGCCAAGATTAGTACATTGACCATTTGCCTGGTGTATGTGATTAACAAGAGGATTACATGCCTCAAGAGGTATAAAAATCCATTGTTGAATAAAATCTGGGCTCTTCTCTCTTCTCCTGAGAATGGAGTTGAGTCCCCTGTGCCCCCTTTTCTGTCTTCATTAATTGCGTATCACTCCATGGGCCTGTTCAATTGTGGGCTGGACCCCGCAATAACTCTTTATGGGAGTAGAAAGCCTCTCTTTCTCCCACAAACATAGGTACAAAGTGTAATAATTATTATGAAAGCAAAATATAAATGACTAAAAAAGCCAAAATTTAAAAATAGGTAATTTATAGTATA